CCCCAAAACCCCAAAACCCCAAAACCCCAAAACCCCAGGTTACTTTACCAATATTGAAGTGAAGTTTTTAATACAAACCATATGTTTTAAGGAATCGTGATTTTTTCCCAAAATATGGCATATTATTTCAAAATCGATATTCGAACAATTTAGCAAAGGCGAATGTGGAAATTAAGAATTTCTTTGAGGCATAAAACCTTCCTATTTAGCATCTTGTTCACCAAAAAATCTAGCCATATAAGTCAGATGGAGCAGAGAATTATAAGTTTTGACCAAATCCTGATCTAAATTCTCTTTTTTATAAAAAATTGACAAACTGGGGAGACTACTACCCTAGTTGAAAGTTATGTCAATACCAATTTTGAATTATGAGCTTCTCCGAACGATAAACCTCTCATAATTTTTATTAGTAAAAACCAAGAAACAATAGCAAAAGTTTGATTCATGAATTGATCAATTTTATGAACATATTTAGTTATTTCTGGGATAGCGTTCCAAGGAAGTCCCTGCATTTGTCTTGGTCCAAAGTTGGAAATCAGATATCTATAACAAGCATTAACCCAATTGTAATCACTAAGAGCGTGTAACTAATTTCAACCTTATGCGTCAGGGAACCAGAGCTAATAGGACCAGAAAATCCTACATTTTTCTAGATATTTTCAGTCCAAATTTCTTAAATAGCTAATAAACCGACTTAATGATTTCCCAGAATCTAATCTAAATTGGATTTTTTTGAAGAGTAAGACGGTATCAAAAGATCTCCAACATTTTTAATTAATCGGGAGAGCTAGGGCTATCAGTCCTCAGAGTCTACATTAGCTTCTGTTAGTCTAAGGTTAAAAAAGTTTTTATAACAGATAATATTGAAGTCCAGAATAAAATATAGTCAATCTATATGGCTATCTTCATAAATAGAAGAAAAACAATTTTGATTCCTGAATTTTGTCTTTGACTTCAATACCTCTATTTTATAGCATTTTGAGCAGAAAAGAACCCATTCCTTACCTGCGGATGAATCAGAGACGTGTTGGGGAAGAAACTTAGCAAGAATATCACCAGGATTTTCTTCTTGATTCATTGAATTGTAAACCTCAAAATGTTTGCTTGGTAAATTTGAGCAGACAAACTCAGATTGCCTGCTTTTGTTCGCACCTATCTGTTCTGGAAGAGTCTGCATCGTTGAAGCATTGATATATCTTTGATTCACAGAGACGTTAGCCTTAGTTGAAGCCATTGTGGAGCCTACAGCTGTTACAATAAACCCAACTTTCAAATATTCTGGACATTTTGAGGTTGGACGATTTCTTCGATTTGCCTGATTTGGTGAACTTTGAAGGCTTATGCTTGATGCGTAACTTCATCATCCTACTTAAAATATTAGTTCTTAGTATATACTAAGACAATGCAAGCAGTAGGTCCTAAATCATCCATCTAGGCGAAATGCTATGGAATCAGTAGGTTCAACAATAGCATTAGGAATTTTTAATACTTACCTTCGAACATTTTTAAAGTAAGAAGCCTCTTTCTTTGAGCTCTTCCTTGAAGAAGATCCCCTCAAAATTTCTTCGCTTTTAATAAGTTTGCAGACTATTCGAGCGGCTGGGCTCAAGACTCTAAAATTAATGCTATAATCCTACCTTGAAGTATTCTTCTTCGTCAATATCTTGGACTTTGCAATGTTTCTACTCTTTTTCTTGGCTGGACAATTTTTCTCTTTAGTGCCTGTTCTTAAGATTCTGTGGCGAGGAGAACAACTTTTGATCCCAAGGAATCGTCCTTTCATGGTTCTAAAATTCAGATTAGATGCTTACTTTCTTGAGACAGTCAGATTTATTCTTGGAGCCCTTTTTATTTTACTTGGCTATATTTCAAATTACTTCTGAATTGTGAATAAAACAATCCCTCTATCACATAATAAAAATAATCAAAATGCTCCTCTAGATCTTCGAAAATCCTGTGAAGCAACCAAGCAGAAGAAATAGTGGAAACATATTGCTTCATCTAACTTCAATAGAGCTCTTATATAAAGGACGGAAAGCTTAGCTATATTTCTCATGCGACTCATGACCTAACTTTTTAAGCAAAAGCTTTGAAATACTAGAGTATAAAATATACAATATTTACTATAAATTCTCACCTTTTGATGTACAAACTTGTTCTTGGTAATTCTGCTTTTGGGGCTAAACACTCTGTTTTCATTGCAGAAGATGCTGCTCTATAGTAAATCAATATTTGAAACTTAAAATCTTGAGAAGAGTCTTATTACACCTCAAAGTCTTGGTTTATTGGCTTGTTTTAATAGATTACATTCAGCTCATCAGAAGAGAACTTAATAATATTAAGGGAAGCTATTTTTTTTGTCCGTCATCATTTTTTTAATTTTTGATTCATCCCAAAAACGATGTCGAGAAAGGACTTATTTCTATTTTAAACTGAGGCAAAGTAAACCAATTTAATTTGAATTTTTATTGGAACTATATAAAGGATGAGAAGTTTTATATTTCTATAGCCCTCACTAAATACACTCCACAAGAGCTCCTTTGTATTTGAGGTAGAGATAAATGATACTTTACACATAAATTTCTCAGAGGGATTCTGATGACCCTAAAATTACATAGCACTTCCAGATATTTTATACATATAGCAAGGGATTTCATCGAAAATTCTGCAATTTCAGATTGGTGAAAGCAGAGGAATTTATGCCTTCTGTGCAACTATTGGCTAAATAGTGGACCTATCCATGAAGTACGAGAAGATCTCAGCCTTTAAGTAGAAATCACCATTTCGTGAAAATTATTGAAGCAGCTACAATCCTAATAATGAATCACTTATGAATCATGACTGCAAGTTGAAAGAGTAAAGGAATTTACTGAAGCTTGATTAAACAGAAACAAACCAGAAATATCATTACTATTGATACCGTTCCAATAGTATAGCTTACAAATTTTTTAACTTGACATTAATGCCTCATTCATATTTAACCAAAAACTATCAAAACGAGTCAAGGAGCTTTCAGACAAATTAATAATGTGCCTAATCCTTTATAATACCACACAGAATAATGTCCCCCCAATTAACAATGCTTCACTGACCTTCTCACCCCACTCATGTTTCATTTGTCTATTCCTCGTTCCAAATCCACTCATTTACAAACTCAAATCCTACTTTTTATATAAAAACCCACCCAAAAGGGGTTTTGGGGTTTTGGGGTTTTGGGG